AAGAGAGGATGTTCTAAGTCTCTCAGGTCAGTAAGAAGCCATTGCTCCAACACTTGTTTATTTACTTGTGCTTGGCTCAAATTAGCATTATTATTTTCTTCTTGGATCCAGTTAACACAAGCTTCCAGCCACATTAGAGACACTTTAACATGCCATGTTGCCAAAAGCCAAGTTTCAACTCTCAATACAGCACTTGATACACTCATTTCTTTAAATAAGAGCATATATGTCCACCACTTTGTAGGACAACATGAGATCTGATGACAAGATTTCACGTGGGGCCAGTGGAGTACTCAAAACCTCTACTGCAGAGAAATTACCCTGGCCTTGTCCCGCCGCGCCACCCAAGCGTCCTCCGCCCGCCGCTCACCACCCAATTTGGCGCGCAGCGGCCTCCTTCCTCCCACAGATCCCCCTTGGGGCTCACAGACACCCCTGTGCCGCCCCCTCCCCCCACTAAGATTTATTTTTATTTACGTGTGTATAAGCCACATGTGTGCAGGTACCTGCAGAGGCCAGAAGAGGGCATCATATTCCATGGAGCTACAGTTATAGGTGTTCGTGAGCCACCCGATGTAGGTGCTGGGATGTGAACTGGGGTGCTCTGGAAGAGCGGCAAGTACTCCTGGTCACTAAGTCACGTCTCCGGGCACTTTCTCTCCTCTCCTCTTCCTCCTCTGCCCCTCCTCTTCTTTTTATAACCTCCTAAATCCATAGTGCTTCCCATACGCATATATGTGTAGGGCCATCCACTGAAAGATGGGCAACCAACCACTGGTCGAACCCCTGAAGAAAGATGACTTTCCCTCCATCATCAGCCATCACCTGCCAAAAGCTCATCGATTAGGGCTGGGACAATTAAAAAGTAATTATATGTATGTATGTGAGTTTGCACATATATGTGTAGGTGGCATCTGATTCAGAAGAGGGCATTGGATTCCCTGGAGCTGGAGTTACAGGCAGTTGAAAGCAGCCCAATGTGGACATTGGCAACTGAGCTGAGGTCCTTTGGGAGAGCAGCAAGTGTTTTAACTGCTAAGCAATTGCTCCATCCTCCAGGAATGAGATAATTTTCACTTTTTGGAGTTATAATGATCCTAGTAGGAATATGTACTTGGGGGTGCATGATAAGGAAATCACCTACATAGCCACTCCTTTAGGAGGGAAGGTTTTTGTTTAAGCAAGATGGATAGAATATCCAGAGGCATTTGGAAGAGTCCAGGGTAGGGAGAACAAGTAACAGTCTGGCCACAGCCAGGGATAGGAAAGTGGGAATAATGGAAGATAGCGGAGATAGCAAGAGACAGTGGGAGCAGAGGAAAAACCTTGCTGTTACATGGAGAACAAATGGATATGCAGGAGAAGGGAAGCCTGGGAATTGGAGAAGGGTCAGGATGCTAGTGTGGTGAACTTGAAATGTATAATAGGTACTTGTGACTATGGATGGTAGGAGCCTGGAGGCCAGCATGGGCTTTGATATGCAACCACAGGCATGGGTAGTGGAGAGCCACATGTCTCTTCTTTCAGAGATAAGGGAGATGACTCCTTCTGGAAGACTGGAACTGTTTCACAAGTTCCTGAGGAATGCTGGCTTTTATCTAACCACCAGAAGCCGGGTCAAGAGAGTCATTTCTGGACATATGCCCAGCGCTTTGGAGTTTGGGAAACTGGAGTGTCCTTTGAACCTGACAGAATGAAGTCAGACATATGAAGTTTGGGCCAGCCTTTCCCCAGTGACTACCAGGAATTTTATGGGAGTCTAGGACACAGGTCATGTTCCTGCAGGCAGATGGATGGCTGCCACACAGCTGGTGAGAGGAGATAAGTGATGGCTGCTGGAGCTTGTCTGCAAGTCATCCTACTGGGGAGATGGCCCTGTCTTGATGACTCTCAATGAGGAAAGCGAGGGCCTGTAGAATCAGGGAGGAGGGAGTTCTTCACCCTCATCACATCCTGTGCCTATGTCCCAGGCATCTACAGCTTCCCTGCCTGGCCACACAGCTCAGGACCGGGTTTCAGAACCATGTCTCCAGCCCTACCTACTTTCTTCTGTCTTGGTGAGTCCTGAGGGTTGACCTGGGAAATACTTTGAAACAGTCTCCATGTACAAAGGAATGAAAAACATCTTGTCAGTGGTGAATTTCAGAACAAGATTGGGGTCCATGACATTGCATTTGTTGGATGGAAAAACAGAGACAAGATACATTTAGTTTAACTGTTTCTGTTTGCTTTGGCTTGGCCAGGACATTTGAACAGGTGTTCCAGAGCTGGCCAC